TAAGTGAGTGGAGTGATCTTCTGTTGCTACCTTGAATCATCAAATTTGTGAAAATTTCAAGCAGCGAAAATGAAACGTTTTTAAAAAGTATGTTGTTATTTCTCTCACAGATGCTCCATTATTTCATACACAAGCAAACCAGACGATAGATTCATACGAAACCATTGGTGACTTTCTACTCAATATAAGTGCTATAGCTAACCCAACTACTATAACATACATGTGGTATAGAGATGGTAAACCAATCGATATTGACCTCAGTAAGACTTACAGCATGGCTGACAATGGCTCATTAATACTTCATAATGTTACAAGACAAGAAGCTGGAATATATACTTGTCAAGCCAGTAACGCAGAAGGCAAAAGAAATCTGTCACTTGTACTTAATGTTTTCTGTGAGTATAAAAACATTTTGTTATATTGTGTGTTTGTTGTACCCTTATATGATACTTTTAGATTTAGTTATATTGGAATTTAAAATTCTTCATAATGCAGGTGAAGTTACGTGCAGAGTTCTTCGCATATTTTCGCATTCTATTCTTGGGGTGGGGCTACCACTGTATGTTGTATTTTTATGAGCTCTGCACAGGCTGCTGTGGAACGCCATTTAAAGTGCCGGTGAAAACAGTTTACTCAACTTGGGAAAAATCCTGAGCAGTCTAACTAAGTACAGTTTTCTGTGAGTTGTCTGTCTTTGTTTTCACCGAAATAGTTGCCAGGCGATGAAAATGCCCGGTGTCCGCCCCCGAGAATACACAGTTCATCACATATTCATGTGTTCGTAGTTTTATCGAGTACTCTCGTGAGTATATTCATATTCCAGCGTCTGAGAAATTACGATTGAACAATATCCCGTTGGATTCGCCCGCGACCAAGACGGGCGAGTCTTTTTTATTTATAAAAATTAATTAATTAATATCTCTCTTTCTCGTTTCCACGCGCATCATTTTGAACTATGTGCCTCAAACGTTTTTTTCTTCTAAAGCATTCCAAAATGCGCTTGTACTAGCACTTGTCTCAAATTTCCCCATTTTAGCTCAGTATTCAAAAAAAAAAAAAAAAAAACGCCTCGCCATCTGATTTTAAATTTTCAATGAAACAAGAAACAGTTTTTTTTTCCTGGCCTTATTGCGGTATGTACTTTATTTATTTTTTTATATTTATTTATTTGTTTTTCATTCTTCTACAGTGGATTGTTATAATTCAATTTGTTATACATATTGCTATTCACAGTTGCACCAGTCATCCAGATTTCAGATGAACTGATAGTAAGTATAGGTCACACAAGTCCATTAGTATGTGAGGCTGCTGCCAATCCTAAGTTGGATGACTTCATACACTGGGCCAGGGAAGGTTATGTATCATCCATGTATCAGCAACATTATCAAGATGGCAAAAGTACTTTAATATTAACTAATATTACAAAGGCTCACGCTGGTCCTTATATATGCAATGCAGATAATGGTATTGAACCGAAAGCATCAAAAGTTGTCCAAGTCATCGTCCAATGTAAGTCTGTGTCAGTCACAAAGTTGGTTAAAAGACGTTGTTGAATCTATGCATTTCCCTGAGAAGCGCATACAAACTAAAAATCACATTTGTTTTATGCTTATGTCTAAAGCGAGAGGGTATTGAGTCCCAAGCGACGATAACAACACACGCTAAAAACACAAAGGCTCATGGGTAGCCACTTGTTTGTAAACAATGACACGCTATGGCCATCTGACGCATGCGCAGATGACACTCCTTGCTTTAAGTGTCAAAGAGTGACTGTTTATTTACCTGTGAAGACTAAGCTTAAGATTTCTTGTAATTGGCTGAGGCTGCCAAGCCCACATCAGCCTTAAACTTGATTGGTTCTGGTGGAAGGCCACCAATTGACCTTTGGGAAGGCAGGCAGTGGATTAATTTCCTTGTATTCAAAAAATGTTATTAATTAGCATGGCCTTAGAAATTGTTGATCACTAAACACAAGTTTTACCGTTTTTTGTGTCTGATAGACTTTACAATATGCCATCATCATCACTGTATTTCAGATGCACCAAGTATCGACAAATCACCTTCTCGAGTGAAAGTAGCATCAACTGCTGGCAAGACCACTTATCTGATATGTGCTGCTGAGGGCGCTCCACAAGTACACTTCAGATGGAAGAAAGACTCTAAGGAGTTCAACAGTACTAAACCCAGACACAAAGTGGAATTGTACCATAAAACATACTCTGTGTTTTATGAGAGTAGATTGACCATTACTGAAGTAGACGACAAAACAGATTTTGGTCAGTATGTATGTGAAGCCTATAATGACCTTGGAACTGATGTGGTGAAAATAATGCTGGAAAGGACAGGTGAGAAAATATCTCAACTTATGAGCATGGGAATATGATTAGTATATTGGTTATAGAAAAGCAGAACTTGTATGTAAATAGTCGCAGAGATCTCGTTACAAGTGAGCGTGCAGCGAGACTTTTCTTCTCTAAAATAGCATTTTATTTTCTTCTAACATCGCCGGCAAAAAAGTAACCGTGGTATTTGATGGCCGACCTTGAAAAATAGTGTTCAATCAATTAAATGCAATGGTCTTGACCATGATCAGAGACACCAAATGACAGTTGAATCTCCCCTGACCATGGTTGCATTGCATGGATTCGCATCCTCTGCTCCCCTGATCAATGTAACCATGAGCCAATGATCGATACAGTACTTATTATGCTCAATCTTCTCCTTGCTTCCACTTTTCCAATGCTCATTTTCCACTCACCATCAAGTGGTCATTAAAAAAGTGGGAGATTGAGCAAGATGAGTGCTGTATTTGAGGAGCAAAAAAGTTGTGGCTCTCTCACTCTCAGCAAAAATCAGCATCTCCTTTCAGTGTATTGAATATTGTATATATATTTGATTCAGCAGTGATCATTGAACTTCTAGAGAGACCCATTTGGTGTTTTACAGTACGAGATGCACCAGAGGTCTGTTAGACTTTGTTGAGCTGTGTAAAAAATTGCATCAGTCAGTGTGTGAAAATAATATATTTTGTTGCCACACATTTCTCAACACATTAATGATGTTACTGATGTGTTCACGCAAAA